GGGTGACTAGTCCCTTGAGCTAAGTGCTTAAACAGGTGTAGATGAGATCAGCATTCCTATTTCATGACAATAAAGGCCTTTGACTTTCTTTGTGTTGTGAAGATAGACAACATAATAGTTAACATTCATCGTGTTAGTAATAGGTGTCTACGCAGTTGAAGCTTTCAGTTTTATTTTTTTAAGAAATCATATCGTAAAATGTTTTTGGAAGCAAAAAACCGGCACCTATTGGAGATATTTGGCTTCTGACGTATAATTATTTGATTACAGTTCAGATAGAAACATTAATGAAATCATTAGCAGTTATTAAGAATGTCAGGAAAGCTTGAAAATGAGTTGTTTTTCAGGTTTTACATTGTTAGAGGCTGTTTACATTTTATTCTGAAAGCTAATATTAATATACTGTAGTATGAGGTAGAATTAAAATGTAAAAGTTTAGTAGAAGATAAATATATTTTAGATACTTTCTTCCTTTATATTGCATTTCCAATAGCTTTATTATATATGTTAACAGAAACAAGTGAATTATTACATCATTTTAAATATTGGCAGTGTGCCTAGTAGCTTTAGTTTTGCATTTTAAAAGAAAAGCAGAAATCCTGGCCACTGGGCTTAACATCTAATGAACAGTTTAGTATAAAATAAAATAAGAGCTTTTTTACATTGTGCAATAGGAATTAAAGATTCCATAGCTGTGTCATGTGCCTGCTTTTGATGTGTTAAACAGGGCTTTAAGAGACCTGACCTCAAGAAGTATTATTGGACCCTATTAAAAATCAGAATTTTCATTTTAGCACTAGTGGTTCACTTCAGTTGTTTTTCTGTCCTTCCCTTCATCCTTTTCTCTTTCCTCTCTCTTTCTAGTATTTCATTATGGTATCTGTTGTATTCTCTCAAGGTCCAAATCCAGGGAGAGGTTCCTTTTTTGTGTGTGCCTGCACACATAGTGAATGACTTTTGTATTCCCGAGAGCTTCTGGAATTGTGGCAGCTAAGTGATTGTCATTACATGACTTCTTTTGTCTTCTGAGTGAAGAGTGCTATGAGAAGAGCTATTTCCATATTTTTCTGCTCTGAAGTTATATTATACTTGCCATTTTTATTAGCAGAACTAAAAAGATGGCTAAGTTTCCTTAGAATTTAAAGTTCAAACTCAAAGAAGATTCTGAAGATTCTAAGACATGAAAGTAGAAGAGGCATCAGTGAAATCAACAAGTAGCTGTAAAACAGATAGCTATGTATAACTGTATTTATAGAGTTTTAAGAGGAGAGTTATGAATATTGTGTAATTCACCTTACCGAAAATGTTTTCATTTCACTTTGATCAATTATTTCAACTTACAAGAAAGTAGTAGTAATGCAGTATTGCCAAAAATGGCAGTAATAATTTATGTCCGTCAGTAGGTTGTTTGAAGTACTGGAAAATTAGAAACAACCTGAATGTATTCATTTATACTTTTCTTTCTTTTCCTAAAGCTTCTACTGTGGACTTGTCAGTGTAATATACTTGAGTATGTTTTCTTAGGTGCCTTTTAAGTGAATATTAGCAGTAAATATTAGTGGAAAAAAAAAAGTTTTGCCAGCTACTGAATACCTGCTAGGAGTGCTTCTTTTGATTTTTTGTTCTTGTTCAAATCTTTGGTACTCTGTTTCTGCCCTCACATGTTGTCACCAACCTCCTTGGCCATAAGTACTATTGTAGGAAGGGTCAAGCTGATGGAAGCTGCTAGTGCTCGTAGAAATAAGGAAGGGATCTAAGAATACAAGAAAATAAAAGAGAGATGTACATGGGGTGGGTTCCTCAGTTATTTCAAATGACTATACCTGGATTTTTTTCTTTGTTTTTGATAAATGTGTATTTTCAAAGGTTGATTTTATTCTACCGATGCTTTTGGCTAAAAGTTGTTTTTGATAATTATTTTATCTTATTATTGTTCCAAATTCTCCAGATTTATAGTTCGTCTTGTTCTTTTCATTGTCATTTATCATTTCTTTGTTGAATTTTCTTACATATAATGAAATTAAATTGTTTAAATGTCATTTGCAACTCAGATTTAATTTTCCTTCTTATGTATCTTAAAAGTCTACCTTTTGTTATTTTTGTCTAATTGTGGCTTTTTTCTATCAGTAGTAATGAAAGCAGTCAATAAAAGTCCATGGCTGACTCTGATTATACAGAGGGTTTGCCATAATGTATATTGGAAATGTCTTTGAAATCCTTCTCCTGAAAGGAAGGTGCCACAGCTTGTGCTTTATGGCCTTCTAATGTTAGACAGTGATCTCATTTAGCATTTTCCCAAAGTGAAAAGAGTGCATTAGGACAGCATAACAAGTATTGTAGATCAATACAGAGGCAGGGCTTTACCCTTGCAGATTAATCCAAGAAAAATGTACCAGAGTCTCCTCCAGGAACTGGGAAACAATTATGTGGATTTCCAGTGCTCTTCCCCTCCCCTTCCATCTAATCATCAATGCAGGTTGAAATATGTACAAAAAGGTTTTCAGATGATAGCTGTGCGCACACACACACACACACACACACACACATATCAAGAACAGACTACCAGACAGGAAATCAGGCCCCTGGAAGCAAGTAGTAATATTGCTTTGTGGTGATAAAAGTATATTTTGACACATTTCAAATCATATAAAACTCATGTACTTTAACTTGCATGACTAATAGCTCAGCTCAAGGTAAATGCTTATATATGACTTACATTACCTCTTTCTTTACATCTTATATTACCTCTTTCTATGTAACTTCCATTACCTTTCTGAGGAGTTCATGCTATTATATGGATTATCCCATTGCAAAATAGTCTTTGTAGGAAGGAAAAAAAAAATATATATATATACATATATATATATTTTTTAATATGTGTAGATCCTCACTTTACTGTGTCTGCTTCTTGTATGTTACTGGAGAAGGGCCGTAGATTTGGTGAGGGTTGTTCTAGTCATTCTCTCATCCTCCCCACCCCCCACCCCCGCCTTTAAATCTAAGATACATTGCAGATAAGGTCAGTTGTCAACACTAGGATAGAATGTAACTTTTTCTACAAACTATTAAAGTCACTAGTCATATCTTTGCTACATTCAGTTGATCTGATGCTTAGTTGTAGTATATTGGTCATTTATCCAGATGTGGGTCTTCCTATAGTGAGTCAGTGGTATCTGTGCCTGTGCTCTTGGAAGCACAGCTGACTCCGTTTACATGCTGATATTTATGATAGGGGATTAGGGAAGTCTGTGTCCAGAAACATTCACAGACATCTAACTTTGAAATCTTTAAAAGAATTGAAACTCCTGAGATTGGATTTAAATTCTGTTCTTAGGTATTTGACAAAGCAATGAAGTAATGAATGAAAAAGCAAAAGTAATATTATGTAAAATTTGAGGGATTCCTTCCCCTCCTCATGTCTGCTTTCTTTAGAGCATATTAGAAAGTATATTCCCTTGGGGACCAGTAACATGGTTTGCATTTCTATTCCAGCAAAATATATATTAGCTTAGTATGTTGGATAAAAGTAATGAGACAGATTGTCACCCAGGGGTTTCCGTATTGATGGGAAATATTCTCTGTGTTCTCTGGGGTTTTGTTTCTTTTTTTAGAACCCATTAAATTTAAAATAATGCTATTTCAAGATTATATGGAAATAACAAATTTAAAATTCCAAGACAGAACTGATAAGAAAGTCTCGAAGCATTTTGTGTTAATAAAACTAATTTGAAAAAATATGAATTCCTAGATTTAAAGTGATAATTTTATGTATTTTCCTTTCCTGTTTAGTCCTTATAATCCAAGTTCCCCTACTACATTAACAAGAATCTTTTATTTTCATATATATAATTCATTTTGATTATTTTGTCATTACTTTTCAAGTGTATATTATAAGCTTTTTGGAAACATTTACATTTAGTATAGCATATTAACTGTGAGTAATCTAAAATCTGAGATTTTTTAATATAATTACCGAAATTTAACACAGGGAATTTTATTATGTTTTCCTTTTACCTATTTTATTCATTCAGCAGATTTATTGCATGTCTTCTAAAGAGATATCCATATCTAATAGCCAACGTCAGAAAGAAAATAAGGCACAATCCTTCTTGAAATATACATTCTCATTAATATAGACTAATAAATTGCACTAGTCTCTACTGTAGTCAGTGTCGTGTGCGTGATGAGGGATATTAATAAAGGAACAGAAGATCACCCTAAAAGGAATGATAGACTCTACCAGGGAAGGGAAAACCAGTGAAAATTGCAGTAGATTACACTTAAGCTAAGTATTGAAAGATGAGTAGAAATTTTCTTGATATTTAGGCGTGGGTGGATTTGAGGGCAGAATATTCCCAAAGTCCAGAGCAGCATGAACATGGATGTGAGGAGAAATGTGTGAGCTAACCATGACTGTGATATGAACAGGCTGCAGCAGTGTATGGGGAAGATACTGGCTTGGATTTATATAGTAGAAAGAATCCTCTGGCGGACATGTAGAACAGGAATAGAGGGCAAAAACCAAGAGACGGAGACCAGTTTGGAGATTATAGCTTGAATGCAGGACAAAAGTAATTTAGAATTAGTGAGTAAAGAGGTGGAGGGGCAGACTGTGGACATCTCCAATATTGTGATCTGCCAGATGTGGGGATGGGAGAGAGAAGTGAGGGCTCTAAATTTCTATCTTAGGGGTCCAGGATGCGAAGGCCTGCCACCATTCATAGGGTTTGGGTTTGCATTTAGGAGAGGAGGTTATAGTATTCAGAGTAACGTATAGTGGTATCTGTTAGTGGAACTAATTTCGTAGAATTTATTTACTCTGTATATTTTAATCATGGGAAAAAATTTGTATATGTTTCTTTACTATGTGAAGAAAATTGTTTCATTAAATGTTTTCTTGGATTTGCACCACTTTTATTTAACATTTTATATATTCTCTCTTGGTATTTATATTCTGAACGAAGACCATTTGTCTCAGTAGTCCCTGTTTTTGTTTTCAGGCGGTATGATTATCATCCAGTCTGTGCTGATCTGCAGGCCAAAATCCTCCAGTGTTACCGTGAGAACACCCACCAGACCCTCAGCTGCTCTGCTCTGGCTAACCAGTACATGCACTGTGTTAATCATGCCAAACAGGTGGGTATGTGAGGTACCTTAGGCACCAGAATAGTAGAAAGCCCAGTACTCTGAGGCAGGGTAAGGATTGGTATGTATAGAGAAGCTTTATAAACTCAGTGTCCTCCTCACCAAGAATTACTGTAATGAGTTGGTTACTTCTTAATGTTCATCCAGATCATTGTAAGAGTGTGTGGATTCTTCTTCTCTTCAACTCATTTACTTGTAGAGAAAAACATTATACTTTATCATTTGCTCTGAACCTTTTGTCTGCTAATAATTGTGTCCCCAAGGTCATTGCCTCATACTCCTAAACCAGTATTCAAAACCAGCAAAAAGGAAGGATCTAAATTAAGTATCAGGCAGCTTTGGGATCATAAGCAGTAGATAGTCTTATACCATTTGGTTCCTAGTCAGTCCTTCTACCAGTTTTGTAGAGACTACACAGTTGAGCAGGGAAAGGAAACCAGAGATAGAATTTTTTAAAGAATTTCCCTTGCTTTCATGTATTTCTTTTGACTGTTCATGTCCGAACAATATGATGTTCACGGGACATGTGTTTTCTCTTATTTATGTACTTTAGAAAGCTATTGATAACCTTAAAGCAAATTAACAATTCTAATAAGTCACGTAATTGCCTCATTTAACTGCTTTAACTGTTGGATGTAGGTGGTTCTGAGAAACAGAAATTGTTAGAAACCATGGTTCTTTCTGTTGACCTTCTAACCCAACTAAATCTAGTGTTTGAGTTACACAGCATGTCTTTCTGTAGTCCAGTTTGCTATAGTTATAATAATACCACTTACTGTACATTTCTAACTCTCAGTAAATATCTGATGAGAGAGTTGATATTGTCTGGATAGCTGGAAAACAGCAGTAACATTAGTGAAAAAAATATCCTTAAGATTAAAAGCCTGTGTTGTCTTTAAAAGCCTGGTGGCTTGCAGCTTTGGTCTGTTTCTTGCTTATAGCAGCACTTGTATAACTCTTAGTATATGCCAAAGATTCTTTTCTTTAAAGGTCTTTGGGAGGTGCCATGTTGCTAATGTTAAGTTAGTACATTTTATTTATCAAAAATAGCTTCTGGCATGCTCTTAACAAGCCCCAAACCTTGAGTATCAATGCTGTGTGAAACACTTGGGTCTTTCAGATTGACTCATGAGCTTTTCTAACTTGATAATAGTACCTTATTCACTACTCTAATGGGTAGTCAGTAGAAAGAATGGCTGTGACAAAGTGCATGTTTCAACACTGGTATCACATATACCTGCCTATTTCCACAGTACAATGTGTAACGTTGCTGAAAGGACAACTGCAAAGGCATTTGGAGCATTGACGCCAACCTGCCTGCCTAGGTTGTGTTGAATCGTCTACACCTAGTCCCATGAGATGAATGGTACATGTTTATGGAATGTAACAAAACTACCATGTGACAAATGCAAATATGCCACATGGTGCAATAGAGTTACAACCTGCCAGATCTGATTGTATCCAAACCCTGTCTTTTACTAGTTCTGTGACCCTGAGACTTGATTTTTTTTTCTTGCCTGTGAATTGGGGTAATATTGTGAGTATTACATTTATACAAAGTACTAAATAAATGTTATTTTCCCCTTTCCTCATTTGTATTATTTCATACTGAAACAAGGTAGATCATTCAAAAGCATTAAATTATTAATAATTCCAAAAGAGACCCTCTGTCTTCTTTCTCACTCCTCAGTCTGCCATATCATTTAGTATTATTTACAGCTAGTATGTTTGAAATGCCTTTGTTTTCACAGCTATTATATTCAGTTACTAGGAAGTTATAAGGTAATAGTAAAAAGATAAAAGTTCACAAAACATTTATTCTAAGATGGGTAGCATTGAAATAGGAAAGAACCAAGAAACACCACCACTTACATTTCTGCAGTACTTAACATTTCAAGGCCATTTCACATCTATTCCCTTGTTTTTTATGACAACTTGAAATGTAAATACAGATGGTTTTATTGTCACCATTTTACAGTTGAGAGGACTGAAACCCAGGGAAGTGATGATGGTAAATTTAACAACTAGACCAAATGTACCTTACCATAAAATCAAAACAAAAAAGAATTTTTTTTTTTTTTAGAATAAAGTGGTACTTGGTTTTTGAACAAGAACGGAATCAAATTCAATAATTAGGCTCAGTGTTGACCTTATGGGAAAATTTGATTCAGTTCTCATCCAGTTCAATTTGCAACCAGAATCATGAAAAGAATTAAGTTCATGAACCGAGGTGCCACTGAGCTACTTTTCCTGTGATACTAGGTTGACCTTTTGCTCCTTGTGAAGTTTGTCTAATCTCATGACCCCATTCTGCCCCTTTGTTAGGAGAGATGTTGGCAGTATGGGTGATCTTCACTATTGTAGCATTTCCTGATGGGCTACCTCCCTTACACTTTCTGTTAGATCCAGAGTACAGGCCAGACATGTTGACATGACAACAACCCATTAGGTCCTGTTGTCCATTTCCTACATATACAACATTTCCCCCATGGAATAATTCCAGGAGCCAAATCCATTCCACTTTTAAATGACTTGTAAGACTGGGCTTTCACAAGTTCCCTTGGGCACTGTTGTAGAGACTAATAGATTTTACTGGTAGGAAAATTTCCGGATGTTCCCTAGCTTTACTTTTCCTTTCTTCTTAGTCATCTGCTTATTCACATCAATCTTCAGCTATTCTTAAACAATTTCTCATGGGTTGACATGGACATTTTGACTGTTATTTCCAGTATATTAAGTTATGCGTTCTTCATTAGGATAAAGGGATTTTAAATTGCTTTAATTATCATTTCTAAGACTTAAAAGCTACTGGATAGCTATCTGAGATATAGCATTTAGACCTGAAGAGCAGCAATTGACAGACTTCTGTGTCTCTTTTTTCTCATATCTGTTTAGCCTCATAATTCTCTTAGCTCTCCAAGATTAAATTATTTCTTCTTACCCTTAAAGCCTGGTTCTTGTTCCATCTCACTACACTTGCCTTACATGGGACCATGGAAAGAAAGGAGCAAGGAAAACCTGTAATATTTGTCAGTTAGTGAACCAAAATGTGCTCAAGTAGAGGGTATAGAGAGGGTTAGCTTCCAGATCTGTCTTACTTCTGCTCACTTGAGGGCTTGAAGTAGGGGATCCATGAGTGCCTTCTAGGAGCTGTGTTATTCTAGGACTGACTCTACTTTTGGATAAGAGGAAGAGGTAGGGCATAAGCATATGTGTTCATGGGCACACTCAAGTGATGGTGGCCCCTTTAATACAAGCAGCGTCCCTACTTTTGAGAACTCCAGCTTTGTGTGACTTTGCCTCTTAGAATTTGCTGTTAATCTTAAACTCGGGAAGATAAGCTGCACTTGGGGGTTGGTCTGTCTGCTGCCGGGCCTCCCACAGAGACATACCCTTCCCTTGAGTTCACACTCCTGACAGCCTGGAGAAGACAAGACCACAGAATAAACAGGGAAGTGATAGAGACAGTCTTCAGTTTCTCAACATCAGTAAAGTGCAGAATATTTATCATAGTGCTGCCTGTCAGAATGTAGACTGCTGGCTATTAAAGTACATTAGAAAATGCAGAATACCTTGGCCAGCCCCGGCTCATGCTGTACTGAGATGCCTCTTACCCCATGAGGTTTGAACCATGTGAGGTAAGGAATTTGGCAGATGCAGCAGGAAGCCAGGATCAGAAGAACCAAGGACACACTAGGACCAGAAGCAAGGGCTAGCCCAGGAGATGCCCAGAGGCACTGTGGGGCCTGAAATCTGATGGTAGGGCAGTGAGGAGTTCATAAACCATAGCAGAGATTTAAATCAGTAAGTAGGCAGTGGGTCAATAACCAAGCAGTCAGCCCAGCTCAAGGAAGGACAAAACTAAGGACATCTTGTGAGTTAACCATCACCGCCCGCCCCCCCCTTTTGGATCTGTGCTTCCTGTCGACCTCTTTAGGAATATTAGAAAATAGTAACCCAGTTACATTCAAGAGCATGGGGTCAAGACCTTGGTAAATGTGGCTAGATCCCAGTGTGACATTAATCCATCCTAAGGCTGGCACACCCACCCAGTCTTCTCATTTCTAAGATATAAATGGCTTCTCCAATACATGGTTTACATATTGGCACATATGGAGGGATTTGCCCTGGCAAATTTCAGTCATCCTTCTTAGAAAACAGTATGTTTTATCTCCCCTATAACTTGGGTTTGTGTTTGACCAAGGCTCAGATATTTATTTCCTTTATTATTTTGAGCATGAAGAGGACCTGAAAACAGAGTAGGAGCTTAGAATCAGGGTTCTATTTTATGATTGTCTCATCTGGACTCTGCATGACATGGAAATGGTTTAGTAGACCAGGCTGTGGGAGCTGGAATCACTTTACAGATCATATAACCAGCATCAGCGATTTCCTTTGTACATTTAGCACCCAGAGAGTGTGACTCCTAGATGTGGCAGAACCTGCTATAGATTCCAAACCCAGGGTCTTTTTCTGTAAAATCAGATCCTGAATATGGGTGCACCTCATGTGTTTGGAGATGAACCTGGACACCTAAACTGTCACCACACTTCCCAGGAGACTCTGAGAAGCACAACTGTAGAGCCCATTGGCTGGGATTGCACTGAGATCTTCAGCCTTTCAAAAGTCCAGCTGTGTCTGTGTTGTTCCTCTTGTGGGAGATGAGGAGTTATCACTGTCTACCCATCCAAGACGTCTGATCACACCAACCCTAGGAATGCATCCTCAGGCTTGAGAACACACTGGAAGATGGCATGAGAAGAGACAGGAGCCCCTGAGAAAGGAATCGTCTTCTCCCCTCCTCTTACTCCCACTAAAACTGTAGGGGTCCTGGGAGAGGAACCATTTCTGCTGTTCTTGGGTGGGAGCTAGCGTCCCCTGGCTAGCTCACAGTTGTGACCAGACCCTCCCTCAGCTTTGCTGTTTCCAGGCACCCTGCTGTGCTTTGAGGGAGCGGATTCTGATGTATGTGCCACTTACCTTTGAAGAGCACAAAGATAAATCCAGGTTAATCTGGGAAGACCCTCTGGAGCATATTTGCATTGTGTTTGAAGCCTTCTTTATCATCATCACCTAATGATATTTATTAATCTCCCAGCTGGGCTGCACTACACAGAATGACACATGGGTTTTTCATAATAGATTTCTCACCTTTCTGGGGAGTGTCCCTTGGAATTTGGAGACACATGAAAGCAAACTAAATTCCAGACTTTAAATATGTTACCCCAGCCTCTTCCATCATAAAAATCCTTTTCTAAACTACTTTCTGAGAGTAATAGTTTGCTTTATGACATTTTCTTTTTTTAATCTGAGGCTAATAGAAGAAATATTACCATGGTAATAGATTTTCATTTTTCTTAATAGGTATTTCTTTTCTAGTGCTCATCCTTCAAGAATTTGAACTGCAGTAATGGTGTTTTGTCTGCTATTGTGTCAAGTTGTATAAATGGTTAATTACTTGTAACTTAATTTGAATATTACATAGAGCATTTCCCATAGAGATATAAAAACAAGATACAAGCAGACAAAAGTTAACTTGTGTTTCCTCCAAAGCAGGAAGAACAAAAAACAGACCTAGCTTGGGAGAACAAACAGACAGACACTGAACACAAAATAAGTTAGCTAATCAGATTTTCAGGTGAGGAGTGATGCTCAGTGCACAGGCAAGCCTGGCTTTGTGCTTCTCGTAAATTGAATTTATAGATGACTTTTCCCTCTTATCTTATGATCACCTTTCTTTTTCTTCATCACAGCTCCATTCTCTTCCATCCCCTACTTTTCCTGACCCTGTTTACCGAAAACTTAAGTACTAGGTCTATGTCCAACTCAGGACACTCTCTCGTGTTAGTTTCCCCATTATGTGTGTATAGATGTTCCTGCATCTGTGCCAGCCTGATTAGGTTTGAAATCATGGGGAGATGCTGAGTAAGATCATCCAGGGCGAAGCACCAAGTGATATCTTTAAAAAAGAAAAACTATTCTCTTTGTTAAGATTCATAGCAATCCCGGGTTGTCATAATTTCTCTTAAATATATTGAGACATCCAGTAGCTGGTACCTTGTGAAGACAGTCAGTCCCTGCAAGAAAACTGGAATTCAGAAATCAGGTGGCAAGGTTACTGTGTAACAAAAATATTTGAGGAAAGCAGTTAAAATCATTTTAATAAGTGGAAATGACATCACCTCAAGTCTCCAGGGATACTGCCCATGTTTGACAGTGTGAGTTGCCAGTCGTTCCTCAATGACAGGAACCAGAAAGAGATTTGGGAAGAGTAATGTGAATGCCTGAACTCTTCTCTCCTTTTGATAATTTACCTAGTTGTTTACAAAGAGTTTCTGCAGGCCCAAATATGTGAATGTTGAGCAAAAGCAAGGAATGTCTTTCTATGCCTGAAGTGTTAGCAATTCCTTAAATGAAGGAAGCAATTTTTATAACTTGCAAAGCTTCTCCCTCATTCTTCAGGGAATTTCCTATGTTAATTTTTGCAGTGTTAAATTTATGCAGTGTTGAAATTCAGCCCAACAGCAGCATCTACTTACAGAACCAATCCAGAGACTATGGGAGAACCTATAAGGTAGAACCCAAGACCCTACTGGGTCTGAGCAGGTTTTACTACATAGCTCTGATGCAGTTATAACAGAATGTCTTATCAATTTATTCATCTTTTTAAAAACTCAACTTGACATTGTCTTTGTTAATGTCTCTGACAACAGTGAGGCAGTTTTGTACCACCTCTGCCACCCTTTGGTGACAACTCAGTGCAGTTCAACAGCAAGCTTGTAGACCAGCTGTGGAGCTTCCTTGTGGTTTCTTAGGTCTCCAAGGAGTCACATACAAGTCCGATGAACCTCTGTACTATCTTTGAGAATTTGGATTTTGATACATGTAGCAAGATACATGGAGAATGTGATTAGAAGGGTTATGTGTTTTATATTTGTCTACATATTTTCTAGTACTGTCTTTACATGAAACTGGCTCGCTAATCCCCATCCTGGCCAGGGCAAGCTTGTACTATCTGCAGGAGAGCCTAACATGTTAATATTACATGATTTGTCTGAAAAAGTACCTATCTATTTAGAGCAAAGAGTGACTAAAGAATTCCTAAGCTCTCCCAAAACCCTTGAAATACTGCTTTAATTATGTGATAGTAGCTGCCGATTATTTTACAACATTTGAAAAGAGGCAAATTGTCACATGGCTATCTTTACAACCTTAGGACCTTAAATTATAGGAAGAGGTACATCTTGCAGTCTTGACCAGGCAGACACCAGCTTAAAGTTCCCATTGATGTGCTCAAGAACGTAGTGAATCAGTAACCCCTAAATGCACACTGATCAAACAGCATCACTCATAAGTAGACCACTTTCTTCAGTAACTACCCTTAGATGGGCCCAGTATAGGTCTGGTTTTTTTTCAGGCTTCCATTTTGAATTTAATACAGAATGTCAGGGTGAGGTGGTCTATACATCAGGAACTTACAGAGCATCCATCCGTGTAATTGCAGAAACTTCCACCTAGATCAAGTCACAAGGGGGTGAGCACAGATGAGATGCTATGACATTGTGACATTGCCAGGAGGTGTCTGAGTCTTGCACGGTAGCTGCTCGGTATTTTATTTTCCCAACCAACACAGAGCTCTTGTGATGATGGGCTTTAGAGAGACCTCACATTCTGGTATGTGTACTACAGAGCACGCTAGCCAGACAGAGCCTTCCACTTCTGGTCTGTCTTTCCTGTTTCCTCTGGACACATCTAACTTTTGTCACTTATTTCCTGTTTGACTAAATCATCTTTTTTTTCTACTTCTCGGTGTGCTGTCTCTAGCTAGTTTGTCTGTGTTTAAATCTATTCTTTGATGCACTATAAATTGAATACCTAGAAAGCTATAATCAGGAACACATTAGAATAATCTGTAGGACAATTTGTCCACCTTTTGTATTTATGGCCCAACATGTTCTGTTTGTCTTTCACTGTCTTCTGCCCCTTTTTCAGTCTTTTTTTTCTTTATTTTTTACTTTACATCTCTAGAGACCTTTGGATTCTCTTCCAAAACCCACAGTTTATCAGGCATTTCCATGTGGAATGTCTCACCCCAAATCGTCTAAAGCACAAACTCAAAATTTAAGTTGTCTTTCTCTTTTTCTCTTTCCTGGCTTCTCCCACTGACCACCTAGTTCTCCAGATGACCTTTCCACACGCTCTCCCTGTGTCCGAGGGTCTACCTGTACCAAGGGTCTCACTTTCTTTTTCATCCCATTTCTTTTTGTGGCTCACTGTATTCCCTGTGGTTTCTAATCTGTCCCTCCCTGATCTTCCTGCCTCCATACTCCTCTGTTGGAGCCATTGTACCAAGGATATCATTCTTATTTAACCTTCCTAGATGTCATTCTCCTATTTAAAAGCACATTCCCACTTTTTTTGTTGTTTTGTTTTTTGTTTTTTCCCAGTGGCCAGCAGGAAGCATCTCTGCCTGACATCCATTTTGGGCCTCTTGTGCACTCATTCTCTCCATAAATCCTGAGTGAGTTCGTTCTTTCTTTCTTTCTTTCTTTCTTTCTTTCTTTCTTTCTTTCTTTCTTTCTTTCTTTCTTTCTTTCTTTCTTTCCTTTTCTTTTCTTTCTTTCTGTTAGGCTTATCTCCCTCCTTGCCCTTTGGAACTTGGGCTGATTCCTGCCTCTGAACCTTTGCCTCTGCTTCCCATCTTTACACCCCCCTGTCCTTTCCCCAGGCCTCTGCCTACATTCTGTCTGTGTTGAAAGTTCATGTGCGAAGCCTTCCTGATTGTTCCAGCTACAGAGATGTATCCTCTGTGTTAGGCAGAACTACCCTCCTTTGAATTGTTATCTTTTTCTGGATGTATCCACAAGAAACTGGGAAAAAAAGGGGAAAGGAAAAGCTACTTTTTTCTCAGATATGCTTTTGCTCCTTTTGAATTTTTTTACAGGAGCATTTATTAAGAAAGTTAAGTTTTAATTTATAGTTAGCAAATAAATAAAAATTAGCAAATTATTACTCTGCATTATTCTTTAATTTCCTGTGATGTGTGTGTTAGTTTCCCATTAACTGAGTGCAGAGAGCCCAGAGGAGCTCAGCCTAGAGCTTGAATGCCAGTGTGGCTGGAAGGTAAGGGGCAGAGGAAGGCACGAACCTGTGAACTAGAGTCAGCCTTGGGCCTTGCCTACCCTTTTCTGGGGACTTTCAAAACTAAAGGGATAAAGATCAGTTTTTTCTTCTTAAAGATCTCCGAGAGTAAAGTATATCCCCTGGCCTAGCAGCTATAGAGTTGTAACCTGATAGTTAAGAATTCTTCCTATCTGCCAGCCTCCATCCATAAGAATAACTACAGTGAAAATAGGGATGGTCTCTGCAATTCAGAAACAGGTTCTTATAGCATATGCCTTGTTTTATGTTTTTGCAGTTGATATTTGAAAAGCAATCTAAATCATTCTAAGTAGTTAACTGCCATCTCCCCCTGTCTTGCCACCCCTCTTTCTGGTAATACAACTGATGCTTTTTATTTCTCTTGCAGAGCATGCTGGAGAAGGGAGGATAAAATCAACTTTAGAACATGCAAAACATTAATCCAGAAGTGGAACACTTTTTTTCTGAGTAAGAAGATAATGCACTTAAAAAGAGAAGACCACTAAAGAGAAGCACCAGAGAATGAATTCAACAGAATCATATCATGTTTTGATCAACAACAGTTTGAGAAGCCAAGGTCTAGATCAGGAATCAGTCATCAAAGGACACTGTTCTGTTCCAGTAAACCCAATTTATGAAAAAATAAAAGAGAAGGGCAGTGCTCTGCACCTTTTTGTACTTTCTATTCCACTTCTACTGACCATATGATGTGTCTTTTCACACCAGGCTCCACCTTTTGGTGGCTTCACCTCTAACAAAGCTGGGAGCAGGTGGGGAGGCTGAGCTAATTGGAGTAGGGAGAGGAAGGAGCAGAAAAACACAGAGCCCCAGGAAAAAGTGCTGTATGGAATTGCCTAGGCTGTGTCTTACTCATTTCCTCTTTCTTCCTTTTCTTTGACTAAGAGCTATTTCATTTTAACTTATTATGGTGGTCATGCAAGTAAGACAAAAAGGAGAGAAAATGTTCCTCTTTTACTGGAATGATGTTTATGATTACAAATGAAATAAGACATTTTTATAAATATAAAAGGAACCTTGATTTATGCAGCCTCTAACATGAATATTGACAACTTTACTCACTATCAATAATAAATATATTTTCTGACAAAGACTGACTTGCATTGTAGCTTGGGGCCCTGAACATTCCTTTGGCTGGGGTAGGTGCGAAAGGGAATTGAGCTGATTTATGGTGTTAGTAATTTGCATTTGTGCCATATCTTTCCTCTAAAAAGCGCTCCAGTACATGTAGCAGAGCCTGAGACAGGCAAGTGGCACTTAGAGCGTGCCTCAGGTAGATGGAGTTCAGTAATGCTCACAAATTGCATGAAACTTCCTTTCTGTGGGATGACTTAAGTCATCCTGCCTGGGGCAAGAAGCAAATTAGATAACCTTGGGTAAGACCTTCTGACCCTGAGATGCTAAAAAAATGTTTTAAAAGTCGACACTTGAGGGGCTGGGGATTTAGCTCAGTGGTTTCGCCACCTGCTGTGCAAGTGCAAGGACCAGAGTTCGATCCCCAGTACAAAAAAAAAAAAAGCCAACGCTTGAGCTTCACTTCTTTCTAATTTCATTGAAGCATCCTAACTGTAACTTTCCCTTTTTTTGCAAGGACTGAGATTCAACCTTGGATTTGAGTGAGGTGGAAGCTAAATGGGAATGAGAGTTCTTCCAAGAAATAGAAGAAAATCCCAGTGCTCTATAGTGTCATCTAAATATCTTTTGTTGTGCAGAATTTTTATTTCATTTTTTATTTTGTTACAGAGAGATTTTAGCAAAATGATTAAGAGTAACACACTCTGGAATAAAGTACGTCTGTGTTCAGACCCAGTCCTGCTGTGGGACCTACCAAGTCACCTTCCCTACTACACCTGTATTTCTTAAGGAACTAATAAAAGAACTTAGGCTTATGGCGCAGATTCAAAATGTGTAGCATACTTGGTCAGACTCAGGAAGTGTCATGGAACTGACTTAAGAGTCAGGACAAACGTGATGAGACAGTTTCACTCAACCCATGTAAATGGAGCTGGCCTCTTGAGTTTGAGTCCCTGGATTGGCTCCATCTGAATGACATCTTCATGAACACATAGCAGCACACCTGTGGCTTGATGGTGATTCTGAGTGACATGGCAGACCCTCCTTCCATAATTACTGAGCTGCTCTGAAATTAGTATTTAATGAAGTGTTTTGTTGTTGTTGTTGTTGTTGTTGTCTCAGTTTTATTAGGTTTTCTTTTGTGGGTTTTTTTCTTAATGGTGCAAAATATGCAGAGTTCATTTAAGTGTGAATGAAAAAATCATTGATAACTCAAGCAGCACAATTTGGCACTGTCAGGATGGCATCCAGGTAAGCTGCCTGAGAGAAATAATAGGTACACAAAAACAAATGTTTACACGGTGACTTGTTATAGTGTTTGCAAATCTGCTAACTCACAAATTCCCTCCTATACTGTTTTGTTTTGTAGTTTAGAGCCAAGAACTTGGCATATCCCAGGCTGCCAGTCTTGTCGCTGGCAGAGAAATGCAGTGCTACAGAATCAGAAATTTAAAGGTGATTAAATCCATAGGATTGGGTTGGTATGTCAGGTCATCTCTCTTGCAGCTATTAATTTATCATTTGGATACACACAATGAGTGCAAGGGGGAAAAACAGCACTTTGGGGGAAATCAAAGGATGAGATGATCCATTTTTCTGTGCCTTTGCAAACCAGCCTATTGATGGCCTCACCATCCTGTCCGGTCAACAGCTTGGAAAGAGTGTTGTAATTATGAAGTTCATGGAGTGATAGGTTCCAATCAATTTCTCCATGAAGTAAAACACACCTTGAACCACAGTAGTTTAGCTCAGGAAGCCAAGAAGAATAAAGAATCTTGAAAGCTGGTCAGACATTATCATACTCAACAATACCTGAAAACTTGTCATCGTGGAATTGTTTAAAGAATTATTGAGTAATCCTCATTAATTAATCCACCAATACTTGTGGCCTGTTGGGCAACCAACAAGATTCCTTCCCACAGTTTTAAGCAACACTGGTTTAGAACTGAATAGCAGCCACATGTCCTCAACTTCCCTGGCTCAACAGTTGAAAACGTGTGACTCTGCTTGATATTGTCCAGCCCACAGCATTAGTCACCTTTGCCAAAAAGTTATATTTCCATGAGCCACAAGAACTGATTTTGAAGATTTAAAACTACAAAGTTTCTCCTATTTGGAGGAATGAGTTCAAGACCTATTGTGCAATTATGTTTGATAGCAATATATTATATTCTTGAAAATTAATAAAAAGCAGTTGAAAATTGAAAGGGCAGCAGGAATATAGTGTGAGTCAAGCCGAGTGAACTGGAACATTGACACCTGTTTTGAGTTAATATTCCTATGAATGGCTGATATTTGGGATGAACGAGTTAATACTTATTCATATGCCCTCGCTGCTCCCTTCCTTTCTTCCTCCCACAAGTTTTCTTCTATAGCTGCTTCTTTTGTGTTCCTGCCATCTTTCTCCCCTTCTCCAGGCTCTTCTGCATGTTTAAACTTTTCTTACCACTCTCCCCTTCAGGCCTCCTGAGAGGTAGGTAGTGTAGGAGTTCAAAAGTACTTATCCTGGTGGCCCAGTCCTTGGCTCTTAACTCTGGTACCGCTGCTGCACTTTGAGGCAAGACACTTCCCCTTAGGATTCTCACAGTAAGAGGCTTGCTCTGGTCCTTTTCATTAAAATGTGATATTTGATACTTCTTTCTGCTCCAGCCTCCTAACCCTTTAGTATGTATTTAGTAAATTAGTAATTGTGTTTGAAGTTCTTAATGTATAAATCAGGTGAATGGAACTTTTAATTCTCTGAAAAGAAAAACTATTTGTATTTAATTATTTTGTATTTTTCCCTGTGCCTTTTATTGTACTTTTCCTATAATTTTTTAAAATCTTGATCAGATTTAAAAACAGCCCATTATTGCCCTGAGGGATTTACTCAGTGGCCAGGCAGTCTCTGGTCTGACATACAGCCAGTTTGTGCAGTTGAGATCCATAGTCTGAACCTCTCCAGCAACAGATGACCATAGCACCAAAGCTCCATTACCTATACCAGCCAGCAAAAAAATACACATATGCTAACAAGTTCACAATTTATTTTAAAACATTTTATTATTGACATTTGGTTTTTGCCTCTTCTGGGCCCTTGAAAGAATACAAAATGTATGGGTTTGAGGTTTTACTGTCCTTGCCCTGACCCCTTGTTTTGGAGGTGCAGGCATGACATAGAAGTGCAGGATGAGGTGAGGGACCCTCGTAACATCCTTACAGTGCAGCACTAACACTTGGTCAAGGCTGTTGGTGTAGTGTTTGGGATATTCCATTTGAATCCATGATCATAGGAAAATCATTTAATGATCCCAATTTAGATGAGCCAGACTTTTATCCATCTGACCAACACCCCCAGATGGGCCATGGCCCAGGGAGAAGGGAGTAGTAGTGACTTTCAGGCTGGGTGAGATGGAACTTTGAAGACCTCCCTTATTCAGCAAAGAGGTGCCGTCAGATGCTCTCGCTGGGAGAGCCCAGCTCAGGCTGCTCCTCAGCTCTCCACTGTCAGTCTCAGTACATTGAACTGAAAACACCAAAGATAAAGTAGGTATGTTCCCTCTGGCTCAGAGTGCCAGACGTCCCACTCATCATACATGGTTCCCCTTGCTAGGAATTGTGGCCAAAACATCAGGAACTTTCAATTCCATTACTTTACAGAGTCCCAGCTTGCTTCATCCTGAATTTGGGAGAAAAATTATTAAGTACCTAATTCTGTTTTCCTCCTAGCTGATGTTTGAGTGAACATGAAGGAAACCTGTGACTTCATTGTACTATCTGTTCTGTGGTGTGTCCAGCCTTCAAGAGCCCTTCAAGAGCGTGGAATTTAGAGGAGGAAGCAAAATTCCAAGTCAAAGATTGTTGTAGTCAGGGCTTGGAAGGGAATAGATTTAATACAGGACACATAATTTATAGGATTATTTTATAATATTCACCCAAAGAGTCAAATGCAGAGGAGTTCAAGAGATCTGTCCATGTGCTAGAGACCTGAAGAATCCAGCCAAAGGCCTGGATCCCATGGCAGTGTCCTGCACAAGTCCAACTGCAGGCCTAGAGCCCACAGCAGTGTCTCATGCAAGTCCATATCAGAATCTGCACCAGAAAGGCCCAAAGCCCGGTGGTGAAAGCTAGAAAGTCTGCACCAGTGGGGTGAAGAATCTGCCACCAGGCTGAGGGATCTGCACTGGAGCCAGGAAGTGACACTCAAGGTGAACACCAGAGCTCCCCTGAAGACAACAGCAGCACCAGGATTTGAGTTCCTTTGACGATGAGAACAGCAGAGTACACATCAGGAAAACCAGCTGTGGCGAAAGCTTCTCCAGGAAAATCAACAGCATACCATCTTTCCCTCCAGTTTTCCTTTTATGCCGTTGGCAACAATTCTCAGGGGGGCCTCCCATGCCCAGAACCACACTGACTCAGTTCAGCTGGATGGTCCAAATTGACCACTGGTTAATCCATTACAAAAATGTCTTCCATTTTCCTACCCTTCCAGGTATATCAATGGTCTTCTCTAGGCTACAGCAATAGACCCTTGTATCTTGGAGGGCAACCCAGTGTTAAATCCACTTTGGATTCCAAAAATCTGGTCACCAAATTATGCTTTTCAGTTAAGGAAGTTGGAAATTGAAACTGGCTTAGTCTCTGAAACTCCCTCAAACCAAGTTTGGGGTTTGAATGGAAATGGAAAATAGCTTAATGACATGCTTCATACCTCTCGCAGTGAGTTTGTGAAGTGTACAGTGGCCTTACCTAATCAGACAAGCCCAAAAGCTTGGCTTCCCTCACCACTCTGCCCACCTTCCAGACAATCTCCACCTCTCCTGGGGGGATCTACTGGCCTGTGGTCATTTTCACTTCTCTCAGGGGAGGGTGCTTTGAATAGAACCCTGCCTTTAAAGTAAACTACATTTTCATAATGACTTTTACATACAAATGTGGAAGCCAGAGGTCAGATTGCAGGGGACCACTCCACTCCAGCTGTGCCTTTGCAGGCAGCCAGCTACTTGGGCCCTGAATGGTCCACATTTGGGGAATCTG